ATTCTTAGAAGTACGTGTACTTCGATTTCCATTCGAGTTTCATTCGTGAACGCCTGTTCTGACGATATTTTTACGGAAAGCTGTGAGCTGTGACCATTTCGAGTAACTAGAACGACGAGGAAACAAGGCAAGTTAAGAGAGAGAGAAAAAAAGAAAAGAAAAACAGGAAAAAACGCGGAGAGAAAGGAAGGAAGCGTGGCGAAGGAAAAGAGAGTTCGTTAAGCGGCAATCGGGCACAGGTCTGTCAATCGATCCGAGTCCTCGGAGAAACGAAGGGACCCCAAGATGGCTGCCCGAGAACGTACACGCGGGGCCCCCGCTTCACCAGCATCAGCGACTTAGCATAAATCACTCCCGCTCCGCTCCATTCGCTCTCTTGCTCGCTCGTTCGCCCGATATCTGACTACAGAAACGCGACCGCATCGCGATCACACAGTCTTCTTCTTCTTCTTCTTCTTCTTCCTCCTCCTCCTCTTCCTCTTCCTCTTCTTCTTCTTTACACGACTCGTTTCATATAGGAATTCGGGGGGTTTGTCGATGTCGCGTCAATGATTTACCTAAATCGAATCGAACTCGTGTATAATTTCTGCGCTTATAGTTTCGGCGAAGAGAGAGGGATTGCGAAAATTTGCCGTTCCGCTTCAATTTGGTTTTGGAACCCAGGACATTTGTTTTCGGGGGTTGAAGACATTTTGCAGCAGGAATAAATGCAATCTTAGTCGAAGAGTCAAATTTTTATATTCCATTACAAAGAGTCTGTCAGTCTGTATAACATGCTATATTTCCGATCGTTAAGTCTACTGATCTAATGAGCTATACTTTTGATCGTTAATAACGTGAGAAGAATTCGTCATACGAATCTTGTAGAATATAACATCGTATGATATGTCGATTTTCTCGAAAATTCTATTTTTTCTTCTCGACTCATTTTTTTTTTTTATGCCCCTCTTCGCTACTTCTTCTAGTCTTTCTCCATATAATTTGTCATGCAGATATGATACGCACCATATTTTTGATCGTAAGAAAATGTTCGTAACATTAACAGAGTTCGTCACGCGAACATGATATCATATATTGTATATCGATTTTCGTGAATGATTTTTCAAGTGGAAAAACTCTTATCCTTTCTTCCCTATTTTGCTACTAGTCTCTCTCTCTCTTTCTCTTTCTATTTTATTTTAAACTTTAGACGACTTTCGCGTCTCGACGAATCGATCATCGATTGTCCAGCGTTGAGGAACGAGAAAATCTCGCGTCGTACGTGTTCATCGACAACGGGCTCCGGATAGTTTCTTCGACTCGCTACGCACGACCTGGATATTACGGTCGGAAGAAATTCGGCAGCGAGGGAAGAGAAACAAGGATGGGGGCACCGCATTCAGAGAGAGAGAGAAAGAGAGAGAAACGGGAGAGGAAAGATTTGCAAGAGGTTGGGCGAACAGAGGAAACGGACAGGTCGCTTATTTATGGCAGCCATACTTCGGATATATGAACTGGTTCCCGTCGAAAGTTTCGGACGTTGCGTCGCGTCTTTTCAACTTGAAAATGTATAGAGAGGTGTCCTGGCGCGTTCTCCTTCCCGCAAGATTTGCGAGGGGTCATCTTCAACCCGGTGTCACGCGTTCCTTAATTCTTTTGCCTGCCAACAGCCTCGATGGACAATGACGAGTCGTTTCTCGTGCAAACAGGAACCAAACTGAAAGATATCCAGTGAACTCGGCCAATATCGGTGTACAGTTCACCCTCGAACAATGGGGGTGTTAAGGGCACAAAACACCCTGAAATATGATTTTTGACTTCTGGAAAACTGGCCTGTAATAACCCATTGTTCACTGGGAGCCTGCTATTTTGCATACTATTTACAGTAACTTCTCATTGTCCGAGTACTAGAATACTTTGAGAATTCTGTTACTAGCTACCTGAGTAGAGCTCAGGTTTGCTAGTAAGAGACGTTTTTTTCTAATAGATGTACCAAATCATTTTACGTGTTTTTCATGACTGGAGTGAAGAAAAGAAATCACTAACAAGAATAAGAATAGGTCGCTCAAACTGGACACATTTCTATCTAATCACAAACACAACAGCAAATCTTTGTGACACGTGCAATCTATCTAACTCCATTGATCGCTTGTTTCAAATACGAAGATAAGAGGAAACAAAACACGAGCTCGCTCAAAATGTTGTGAAAAGAAGATTTCAGGAAAAAAGCCTTCGAATTTTTGAAAAATATAGGATTGTATCATTTATTATAGTCATACCTGCTCTATCATAAAACCTACGGTGGTCACTAATAACTCGAGAAGGTGTAACCCTAAACATTTAACTATAAATAAATAAGTATGAAAGAAGAAGATTGTGATGAGATACAAAACTGTGGGAGCACGTGAGAGATTATATTTAATTTTCATATACATCTAATAGACATAATTTTCCCGACGATATTATATTGAAATACTCGATGAATGTAACTTACTTACGTCGGAGGAATCAGATTCGACTTACGTCGAGTAGTCAAGATAAATACAGTTCCCAGATATCGAAATTTTCTTTCGTAAATACCGGAGTAAGGTGACGAGTTTCTTAATGTCAGAAGATTCTGTTAAAATACACGTATCTCGTATTAATTGTTATTATCGTACTCTTAGCGAAGTAAGTTAGACAAAAGAAGGTTGCAAGAAACGCGCATACAATCGGGCTCGATTTGCATAAACTGGACGTCGGACAGGCACTCTATATAAATGTGGCTCGTACAATCGACTCTCCCCTCTACCGGTGATTTTTCGCTCGTACGAAAGAAACTCGTGATTCAACCAGAAATTGATCGATTAAAATTTAGTTGAAATAAATCGAGTCCAAGAATTGCGATTATCTGCCCGACCTTCACGATTTCTTCCGAAACGTTTCCTCCTGCAAAACTTGGAAAAAATTCGCGAGTGTGTAATCGAGTTCGACGTTGTTCGAGAGGGTCAACCGTACATATACATATATATATATA